CTTGTGAATCATGATTCACGAATCAGTAAAGTGATTCTCGAGTATTGAACGATTCGTTCGCGAATCGAACATCACTACCCGAAAACCATTTCACCACGTACGCAAAAGCTCTTCTCTGTGGTAGAAAACCTTTATTTTCCACGCTCTCTTCACTTCCATCCGTCTTTTTGCCCACTCCCAGATTATTGCCTGTGGTCCTGTGGCTTACTCATAATATTTCAAACAACACTGATCTATTAATGTTTCCCACACACAGTTTACTTCTAACTGCGCTGATTTTCAACAATGAATAAATGACGTCTTCGTTTTCTGTGTTATATATATAATGAAAAAAACTGAACTCTCCTCTGTCTAGAAAAGAACGCAATTTTTTAAATCAACCTTAAAACCAACCACACCGATAAAAGCTATTTGCTGTTTTAATAACGTTTAATTGCCACTGTATGAGCTCATCTTGTGTTACATCCTTAAGATCATCATGGGAATCCCCCAGCAGCCTAATGCTGGGCATACACTGTGCAATTTTTGGCCCATTTTGAGCCGATTTTTCAGTCATGTGACTGTTTTGGGGATCGGCCCGAGTTAATCATGTGTCGTGCGTAACGCCTCCCAATCAACAATCGTTTGGTCGTAAGAAAATCAAACCTGTTTGAAATCCTGTCGGCCGTTGTGAGGGTGTCACCGCAGCGTCTCACACTGCGCACGCACAAACAGAAATGAAAGTGAAAAGATGGAGCTACACGGATGTGATCTGGACACAAGCGATGGAGGTTTGTAGAACTTTGGCAAGCTTGTCCGAACCTTTTCGATGTGGCCTCACAAAATTATGGACTGATTCGTATACAGCGCTTTTCTACTGTCCCGGAGTACTCAGAGCGCTCTATATAACATGCCACATTCACCCAATCACACAAACACAGTCTCTATACTTAGTGCTTTCTAACTACATTCACACACCAATGGAAAGCAACTTGGGGTTAGTATCTTGCTCAAGGATACTTGACATGCAGACTGGAGGAGCCAGGGATCGACCACCAACCTTCCGATCAGTAGGTGACCTGCTCTACCTCCTGAGCTACAGCCACCCCAATTATCACGACCGCAACAACCGTGAAAATAGTGTAAAATTTTGTGTCATAACCTTCATGCTATGGACGCACAGTGTGAGCACTCAGGTCGCACAGAGCATCAGGCCGTATAGTGTGAGACCCTGCATCGTGACCTACTACTCACCCCTGAGTCAATCGTACAGTTTGAGCAGGAGCTGAATAACGTGACTAAAACAATTGCACAGTGTATGCCCAGCTTATTGCAGCATAACTGAGGGAGGATTCAGGGTCACCTGAATAGGCCATCAGCCTTCTAAAAGGATAAAAACCCATCGAAATAGTGATAGTCGTCATCACTGCTGCTGGTGGACTCATTTGAACACCTCTGAAATTTGCAAACACGCAAGTATTCTTTTTCTTCCTCAAAATCCTCTCGGGAACACTTCCTCGAGCCTCCAGTTTCATGGTTGTCAAGCTCTTCGTGTGCATCTTCAAAACGTTCATCACTAGTGCTCTCAGAGTGATCGTACACAGTTGAGCTGGTCCCCGAATCAGAGTTTGCAAGCCTGGAATTTTTGCTATCACGCTCTTCTTCATCTACATCTTCCTTTCTGGACCTTTTCGTGGATCCACCAGTCAGCGGTTCTTCTTCTGTTACCTGCTGATTGATGTCCTCATTAGCAATATTACCAAAACAGCCCTCGCTATCAGTGTCACAAGCAGAGAAGAAGTCAGAGTCGCCATCAGAAAACTTCTTGCTCCATCTGATTCTTTTGTTTGGTTCCACATCTTCTTCATCCATCTCTCTAGACCTCCTCCTGGATACACCTGGCTGAGGATCCTCTTCTGGGATGTACTGGTGAACATCCACACAGTCTTCAAATGCCTCATCAGTATCCTCATTTTCAACGCCAACAACAACAACAGCATTGTGATCATCATGCACTTCATTGTTGTCAACATTGGCATTATTGTCTCTCACATTAATATTTTGAATGTTGACATTGTCAAAGTCAGTGTCAGTGTAATCATCATATCGTTCCTCTAATAATCTAATAGCTCATTCAGCCTCCAAAAAATATTATAGAGACCAAGATAAAGATTGTTCAGGAAGCCAAAGAGTCCACCAATAGGTTCATAAGCTGGTTCCTGATCTCCACTTGGAAACATTTCTGGGTTAACCTGTTAATTTGTGATACATCTCCTGTCCTCCAATAGCCTAACCCATCTGTTCTCTGATTGGAGAGTTCAATTTGTGATTGACATGACATTGGCCAATTAGATGAAAGAAGAAATATAGGGTCAAAATTCATAGTTGTAACTTGAAACTTGAGTGCAGAGTTTCACACGTATTTTTTGGTTAAGTCCACACACAAATCTTTTTTACACATACAAATCCTGATTTACAAGTACAAAATATTTATGACCACAATTTGAGCCCATACAATGTCCAAAGATTGAGCGGTGACCCAGACATCCTCGCGCTTAAATCCGCGCAGACAGCCTCATACTGGAGGACAGACCTGTGCAGGACGGCGGCCCTCTCCTGGTCTGTGACGTTTCTACCAGCCGCCCTCGACCGGTAGTTCCCGTTTTATGGCGTCGTCGGGTTTTTGACTCGGTACATGCTCTCTCTCTCGGGGTCCGGGCCTCTGTTAAACTGGTCAGCTCTAAGTTTGTTTGGCCGGGCCTTCACAAATTGGTTAAGGAATGGGCGGCGGCGTGCATTCCATGCCAGCTTGGGAAGGTTCATAAACACACCAAGGCGCCCCTGGAGCAGTTCTTCATCATCATTCATGTGCATGTTGATCTGGTGGGTCCTCTGCCGCAGTCACAAGGTTTTACGCACCTTTTGACTATTGTTGACCGCACCACCCGGTGGCCGGAGGCAGTCCCCCTGGCGTATACTACCTATACTACCGTTTTTGTCAACCTGGGTCTCGCGGTATCTCCACGGTCGGATTTGTACCGTTTAACTTAGACAGTTTTGGTTCATCGCCAGGACTGGACTTCAGATTTCCTCTTGCTGTGTTCTTAATGTGGTGTGTAGTCTTTGAGTTTCTTTGCTTTTCTGCTGTGGTTTTTAACATTTCCACAACTATACATGTGTGACTTCTATATCTGAGCATTTCATAGTACTCAACAAAATTACACTTATCTGGATCCAGAATGCGAAGTTGTTCTACATCTCTGACCTGACCTCTTAGCAGCCAAGATTTCGTTGTCTTTTGCCATCTTGCTTACTTTCAGCCTCTTCTTTCACTTTATTTTCACGTTTTGCCTTCCATAAAGGAATCCACATCTAGCTTGACCTCAACAGGTGATGAAGATGCTGCAGTCATAATGTTTTCACTTGGAAAAGATGTCTTCACTGGAACAGCAGGTTTTGGTAAATATTGAGTAAAATAAAAATCACAGAATCACAGTTCAGAATGCTCACATATAATTCATCACATTCATCCTGACACACTGCTCTCTCTTCCACCAGCTACCTTTACATGTTAAAAGTATGATGGAAGCAGGAGTAAGGCGAGTCGGCTCACAGTCAGGGTGTGTTTTCCTCCTCTCAGACTGTGCGCGCAGGTGACCATGAGTAACGGCGGCTACATGGGGGCGCTTTACCAGAGCGACCTGCTGTGGTGGGTAGCTTGATCAAAATAGTGTTTCCGATGTGACTTCGCTGTGATAGGCAGATGTCTGAACACACTTTTCCTTTACTAAATATTTATTTTTATTGGGCGATCCGAGTTTACTGAAAAACACGAGGAGGCAGGGAGGAGAACACCAAGGACCAACCACGCGTCTGAGAGGACGGCGATAGTTGTAGTTAATCAAATTAGCAGGCCTGTTATAAAAACTTCAGCTGATATGCAATATAATACATTGGTCATAGTGTTGACTCTTATTCAAGTTGTAACACATTTATTTCATTTTAAAGATTTTAAACAGGGGCTTATTTACACATGGATTTATACATTCATTTATAGATACACTTACACGACGTGTGCAAGGTGTACCACCACCCCGTCACCTCTCCTCCAGCAATTGGATAAGAGAGAGATGGGTGGACATACTAACGTGCAGGACTCCACAGCTTTAGCGGGACCTTGAACGCAGCACGCATAGGTTGAGAAACTCCGTAAAGAAATGACGCGTCCATTCACAGCGCTTTTACTTCCTGCATCTGTGGCTACAGCTGATGCTTTCTAAGGGGCGCGGCACAGGCACTAACTGTAGCCTAATGGGCTGTCGTGCATTTAACCGAAGTTTTCGTTTTCTTTTCTAACCCGGCTGTAACTTTGGTGTGGACCCAGCACAATGGTAGGATTCATTTATGGTTCTGTACCTACGATTCAGTCCAGTACGGGTAACTTTTCTGTGAGCTGGAATGAATTTCGGAGACATCATTTTTTCTTATTGGCACCTTTCAGGTGCTCTTTAACAGGGTCAGCACGGCTGAGGGAAGAGAGGGCTGTCACTTTGACCGTAGAGGCTAAGCCTTCATGTCAGTTACGACTCTTCTTCACTAAGTTTGTATTTCCGTAAACAAAACAGAGCCTTCCAGGATTGAGGGCACGGATTTGTTAAACAGGAAAAGCGGGAAAATACGTAATGTTGTTACTTTGTGACTAAAGATGCGAAAGATATTTGTAGCACGAACTTCGGAAGTGATAAATCTGTAAACCGCGTTTGACGAGCTGCAGGTCAGACAAGTTCTCGCCAGCCTTTGTGTGTTTACAGTATTTGTGCTCAGTACTCACGCACTCAGTGTTTCAGACCGAGGTCAGAGATGCAGGATCACGTGTGTTCAGAATCGGAAAGTTACCCCGCAAACGGCAACCTTCAGGGAACGGCCCCTTGCTTTATGGGTTACAGTGTCCGTATCTCTGCGATGACAGCGTCCTCGTTTGTCATTGGGCCACTGCTGACATTGGCAGGTGCTGATGTTTTTTTTCTTTTAGCTAATTTTCTTTTAGGTGACATTTTTATGAAAAACAACATTTTACAAAAACATTTTGGCAGGACAGACAAAAACACAACCAGCTGATCCAGCAGAGTTGGCTGGAGCATAAACCAGTAAATAAATAACTACACACAACACATGTCTGAGTGATCTGTGTGTGTGGAAGAAAAAAATAGCTGCAGTATCCTTTAAAAATCAAACATTGGTATCAATTCACTTTATTGATTGGCCTGTAATTTAACCTGCTGATGTGATGATATCTTATTATATATTTTATATTTTGGTGTTGTTGAATTAACAGTTAGTTGACTGGCCAAAAAGGGGTTAAGTTAAAAAAATAAAATAAAAAAATAGTGATAGGTCATGAACTGGTTCATAGTAATCTGGGTTTAGTAATGTCCTTTCTGTGCTGTAGTTCGGTGTGTTTGGTGGAGACCACAGCTTTTGACAGATAAGGACGAAAGAAAACAAGCAATTTGGCATATTTTGAATTTCTTTTTTACACACAGAAAAAAACAGTCATCAGACTTGTTTGATAATGAAAAGGGCAATTAGTCTGAACTGTTAACGTGCTCTGAACACAGCTTTAAAAGAAAGGAGCCAATAAAACAGTCAGTTACAGTCACACAAAGGTTCGGCTGAAAGCACGAACGAGACCCCTGCTGTTTGTACTCGAGTATTTTTGTAACTAAATTGTCATCAGTTTCAAATGATAAGAAGTGAACCTGTGTGAGTCCTGTTGCTCACTTTGTCCATTTGATTTAGCAAAAATTGTGTCACAGTGGTCACATGGTTAGCACATGTTCCAAACACGAAGGGTGATGACAGGGTTCAAGAAATATCTGGGATGGCTGTCAGGAAGGGCATCAGGTGTGACGATCTGTGTCATGTTAGTCACAAAGGTGAGCCTTGTGAATAAGGAAGGAGAAGAAAGAAACTTACCGTGTGATGTTGAAATGCTGTCAACAGTGTCGTTTCTGATCTTTTGTCCCACAGAGCTGACTGTTGTCCTGTAAATATGGATCAGATAAAAGAAGCCAGGGTGCCGTGCTCCAGCCTCCTCACCTACCACAGAGAGCTGCTCGTGACCAGGCTGAGCAGCATTCAGTGCATCCTGGACAACCTGTTCGCCTGTGGCTTCTTCTGTCAGGAGGATGTCGAGATTGTTCAGCAAACTGCCACCAAGGCTGATCAGGTAGGAAAAAGAAGATCTGTGCTTAAAAATCTCTGAATACGACTCCTGACCGCCTCAGCGAGGAGGTGATGTTTGTGATAGTGTCTGCGTGTGTGCGCGTCATCACTCTGTGTTAGGGATGCAGCGATACCACTTTTTTGGAAACGAGTACGAGTACTTGCATTTCAGTACTCGCTGATGCCGAGTACTTAATAAAAACATGATTTAAATTTACAGGTAACAGCTTTAGTCCTATAATTTAACAAAAACAACAACAACAAGGGACTAGTTTGGAATTAAGAACATTTATTTAAAATGAAAAGCATGGTATTGGTCCTCGGTATCGGGGACTTTTAACGAGTACGAGTACTTTAGAAAATGTGGTATCGAGGCCGATACCCGATACCGGTATCGGTGCATCCCTACTCTGTGTGTAAACATGACAGCTTGAAAAGTTTGGATTGTGTGTTTGTAAAACTCTGTGGAGGGTGAGGTCATGCTAACCACCCACGACATCGTCCATCAAGGTCTTCAAGGTCAACTTAGTAATTTATTGGTGGACAGCTACCATTCCTACAGGTGTTGTGTGTTTTGTGAATATATAGAAAGTACTGTATAAAATGACATTTGACCTCTGACCTCTCCTTCAAGATTGCATACATACTACACAATTTAAAAACTTTAAATATAAATTTGAATTTCTTTCATGATTTTTTTTTCTAGGTGCGCAAAGTCCTGGAGCTCGTCCAGTGCAAAGGGGAGGAGGCCTGTGACTATTTCATCTTCATAATTTATAAAGTATGTGATGCATACATAGACCTGCAGCCATGGCTGCAAGAGATCAACTACACCCCAAGTGAAGATGTAGCCGTGATGAAGGTGGTTAACACTGATCCAAGTAGGTGTCATCATCTTTGACCTCTTTCAGACTTTACAGCTCTCACATCTGTCTGTTTACCAGTCGAGCCGTTATGGTAGAAAATAAAAATCTATAACAAGAGTAACAGTATATTTTCTACATGATTATACAGAAAGTGTAGTTAGATTTCAAACTGAAATTGTAGAAATCAGCGATTTTTTTGAGTGACTGAAGTTATATGTTAGAGGTGGGAATCACCATACATCCCACAATACGATATTATCACAATACTTAACGCACGATACGATATTATTGCAATTTTTAAAAATATTTTGCGATATTCAGATTCTGTACATAAAGGTAAACTTTATCAATATTCATTTTCTCTAATATCAAAGTCTCACACTCAGTCTTTCTCTCATTTCAGTTTGATTGTTGACAAACTGAACGGTTTGTATTACAGTCTAGTCCAACTTAACTGAATCAACCATCTGGTACAATTATAGCTATTCTGAACTATGCAGTTTATGAAAACTATGCAGCCCCTTCAGCAACTGAAGAATTTGAAAGTAAATGAAAACAAAATATAATTTTACATTAAATAAAAAAGTTTTAAACTTAATTAAAATAAAACATGTCTTAAATTAAAATAAGTAAACTGTCATGTTTATTGCTGCCAAAAACAAGTTAAACACATTTGGACAGTGAAGGAATGTCAGGATTCTTGCTCAGAAAAAGGATCAACATGCTCTGAAGTCAGAGCACAAAAACCTTTTTGTAACAAAATATCGATTTCTGCTGTCCCTGTATCCATACATTATTAGCAAACAAAATATCACCATGCTACACAGTATCCATTTTTCCCCCACCCCTATTATATGTAGAGTATGTGGGTGTTTTACATGAATAACAACAGTAACCGTCAGGCTGATGTAGCAGGAGTAAAGGAGTCCCTGAGTGTTATTGACTTAAAAAAGCTGTTTTATTTGTTATTTTTTTACATGAACTTGTAGAATTGTTGTTTGTGAGAGCATGAAACATGCGCAGCCTTACCACCTCCTCAAGTCTCAGAATATCTTAAAAGCAGTTGAAAAGCAAAATCTGTTCAGTATGCAAAGGTCTTAAATGTTAATAGTGATGCCACAATTTCTGCCCACTTCACAGATTTCGATGATATAACATTGTAAAAGTAAATGATTTAGCTGGACACGAGACAAACGTTGTAAAACAGCTCTGTCAGCCTCACAGTTTATTTCTGTGTGGATAAAACAGGGGAACAGATACAGTAAGATCAGCTCGAGTAACTAACACAGTGGTTAAAGCCAACATCTAAGAAACAACCTGCACTCTGTCACAAAACAATATTTGATACAAAATATCCAGACAGTAAGCCATTCTTTATGATTTCTTTTCACATTATTAAACACATTTGGACACATTTGTAACATTTTACCTCATTATTCATTTGAACTGATGTCAATTATGTTTAACTTTTGTTTGTATACTTTCAGGCTTTTGGTCTAAATTTCATGTAAGTTTAACTAAATGTAATTAAGCCACACAAAAGCTTCCCTACCTGGAACCAGTCAA